TTGATTTACAGTGAATATAGAAAGAAAATTTATTGTCCGTACAACTAGATGTCCATATAATGAAGCGTGTCCGATTAATAGAGGTTTGTTTTACAGTAAATATGGGGAAAAAACAGGGACCGTGCGACTAGCTGTCCGTATAATGAAGGGTGTCCGATTAATAGAGGTTTGTTTTACAGTAAATATGGGGGAAAAACAGGGACCGTGCGACTAGCTGTCCGTTTAATGAAGGGTGTCAGCTTTATAGAGGTTTGTTTTGCGGTAAACATGGTAAAAACATTTAGGGACCGTGCAACTAGAATTAAATGAAGGGTGACCACTGAATACAGGTTTGTTTTACAGTCAGCTTAATGAGGGGTCCGCTTAATGGARATATTCCTGTAATTATTATCATTTTTTCAGAAAAACGACTGAATGAAAGGAAGAGTTTTCCTGAAGTCATTGTGATTTGCTTCTCAATTGCCATCATTGTTCTGATCATCGTGATAATKGGATGCTTTGTCAGGCTCAATATGAGAAAGAGGAAGAAAAATGCTAAAATAAAAGCTACTGAAAATTCAGGTCAGTAATTGCGCATGCAGTACAAACATTCTAGTCGAGCACCCTCTGAAGCCCCATAACTTACATAGAGGACTAATACATGGCCGCGCGGAGATACGGATTTCATCTTCGAGTGTTAAAGAGATATCTTACAAGTGAGCGCAGCGAACAGCGGACTACTGCACAGTCTAATACTCTTTTGTCTGAAGTCATGAATGTTTCAAAGTAATTTGATCGATACGCTGAAGCAACCTCTGGACTTATCGAAGTCAAAGCACCGCTAACTCACAGATTGTCTAGCATGAAACAGGCAACCTTGATCTGGGCTGATCACAGTCAGGGCACATGGCTAACTCACAGATCAAATTAAAATTTAGCGTGCTAGGCATGGAGGGAGAATAACTTGAGGAAAACCCTCGAATCAAGGGAGAGACCTAACAAACTCTACTCACATGTGATGTCGAGTCCAGGAATCGAACACAAGAACCAGAGACGTGCTGACGCTGCGAATGCGAATTTCAAGAAACGGCGGCTGACAATTGTAATATTTGTGATAGATATCCAAGCTTACTYTTAACGATAACGTTTATTTTTTAAAGATAATGCGATGATACCAGCCGATGTCATCAAAGCCACCGAAGATGCGCACTATCAACCTCTTATGACGTTCTTACCTGACCAATCAGACGACAAATGTCATGGCAACACACTTACCCAACAACAAGGTTCTTGCTATMAGCCTGCAAGAAACAGAAATGTAAGCACTATAGTAATAGGTCTATATTCTTCTGTATTCATTCTGAGATTTTGTTTTTGCCTTTTTTCACAGGTTGAGCCCATTTATGCAAATATTCACTAATGGCTTTATGGCAACAGTACTTCAGCTCTGCGACAGCATTCCTTTTCAAAGAATATCTCATTATAACACTTACAGTTATAATGTAATCCTTTTCGGCAGATTCAAATGCTATGAAACGATCAATATTTGTAGTGATATATCGGAGCGATCTCACCAAGCAATGTTAGATCCCCCCACATTATGATACCTTTTTAACTTCTCATATTCAGACCACGTGTCGTTCTCTTGAGAATAACATTYTTTGTTTGAGTTGTGTTCATATTCATGTGTCTTCTCGTGTGCTACTTTAAACAAAGGAATGACACTCTAGGGARTGACACGCGGTTTGCAATGGGAAACATTATGTCCAAGTTAATAAGGTCTATTTGTTGTAGCGTCAGATTGTCTTTGATAGAAGTAGAAGCGAGTTCTAGTTATATCGCAAAATTTGGTGTACTGTTGCGCGCAACGTTTCGCGCAACGTACAACCACTGCACCCTGTGTTCAACAGTCCAGCTGTTGCGCTCTACCTCGCAGAAGTACATAGACATGATTTGTACATCGTTKCGCGGAGAGTATCAACGTTTGAACGCGTCTACAGCRTGGTGGTCCCATACGATACAGTATGTTATCATTTTGAAACTGGTTATTTGTTATCACTAATCAACACAGCTAAGACAGCAGGTGCGCAACTCAACGAGGTTGAACTGGAAGCATGTGAAGGCGCCTCTGGCAGCCACTATACAGTCCACATATGACCCCGAAGCATAGTTCTAACAAGTGTAAGTAAAATACAAAAAGAGGAGGGGGGAGAAAAAAAGGGGGAAAAACAAAAGATATGATTAAGAGAGCTCATAAATAGAATGCAAGTAAAAGAATTATAATAGAGCTATCTTGTTTATAAGAGAAAATTATCTGATTAAAAAGCCTTTTTTCTTGAATTTTTCTTATTGGAGTTCTTTGAATTTTCACTCAAAGGATTCCAATATTTTGTAGCAGCGAATCTAACATTGAATAAACCATAACTAGTTATTGCATATGGTAAAGGATAGTTTGAATTGGCTGCAAGTCTAGTGTTATAACTGCATGTGTCTTCTTTTAACAAACCGCATCGTGATCAGCAGTAGAACCAATACMATCATAATCAGCTCAAGATCTAATTTAGCTTTCTTTTATGTTATTCTTGACATCAAACTGAAACTCTAAAGTTTGTAATCAAGCTAAAATTTTGATGACAAGATGGAAAAGACACATCGCCAGGGCTTAGTTTCTGAAATGTCAAACACTATATCAAAGTATCTCTTTGAAATTCTGTTAACATTAAGTTAAAAATCTTACGCTTAGGCTTACCTTCGATGGCAAAGTTCAAACTTTCCCTACTTAGCCAACACCCCATCTTGAAACAGCAAAAGTCTAAAAAAYAAAATAGTAATACCTAATAAAACTTATTTTTAAAATTCTTATCCCAATATTAAAGAAATACTGTCTTTTTTTGGTAAAAAAAATACTGTCATAGTTAAAGTCGTTTCGTTCTTCCGACATTTTCTTCTTCTTTGAATCTGAACAGAACGCACGCGTCAACTACGAGAGGAAAATGGCGCGAAACCCAAACAATGGTGCAAAAGTGAAACCGGAAATTCGATTTGATTGCTATAATTGTRGTTAATAAATTACGAATTATTTCATTTCAAACTATAAACAAAAAGCTATATTTATTACACGATAGAAGAATTCTTAAAATAATGTTAAACACATTTAAAATATTTTTGGCCATAGAACCGATTGTGCACAGACAATGCAATAATAGTGAACAATCGTTTTGAAATTGTTAGTATGGTAGATGTTTAAGCTTTGTAAATTCCCCTTTATTTTCGTTAAAGCTTTTCTTGGATTTTTGTCTGGAAATTTCTCTGGTTCAGATTTTAAAAATGTGTGACTCAGTACTGACATTCAACGTCATTTCAGTTTCATTTGATGTTGGGTGTTCATCACTCGAAACCAGATCAATTCTGTGTTCGTAAAAACCCACTGAAAGATTGCCTTACATGAAGATCTTAGTGTAAAATTTAGSAACAAATGGTACGATTGAAAGATTAATGGATTGTTCAATAAGGAATTTTTTCAAGGGACAAAAATAGACTGCGTTTATCGTCGTTATCCAGAATTGCAACAGCCATTGAGGTAAATATCAATAAACATTAACTCTTAGCTATAATTATTATTTACTACATACTCGAAGTTAAAAACAGAAAATCATAGTAAACGTATATACAAGATTTTCGAAAAATGGCACATAATTTTTTTAAACGTTTAAATAGTTTTTATGTAAAATATTTTCAGACCATTTTCAATAATCAAAATCTTGCATGACATTGGAATGGCTTTCGTTGATCTTCCTTCCTAAATATATTCTCTATAAAGTTCCAGCACTACTTTTCTTTTTTRAATTTAGGCAATATATTTAAAAAATATAAGTATTTAGCATTAAAACGAGTTACGAAGTGTTCATATTGAAATACGTGGAAAATATTGAGACCAATACTTTACTTTAACACGCAGAAAGAAACTGAATGTAAGCTAGGTTTCAGATTATACTTCCCGTTTGTTTAACAGATGAAGGAACAAATCGAACCTCTTAAATGATACAAATATTGCAATTATTAAGAATTGCTTTCAAAACCTTTTATGTGGTTTCATTGTTCATGTATCAAGACAAAGAGTATATCATTGGTTGGTTCTTTTACTAATGCAATAAATAAGGATTAAAGTTCTAAAGATTCGAAACTTTGTCTTGTCACTTAGTATTGACATTTTTACGATTTATAATGACGTTCTTATCTGCGGTTGCTAAAAGTACCATCCATTTTTTTTTTTTTTCGTGTGTAGCGGTCTTGTTAGAGCTAATGTATTATAACATAGTTATATGAAAGTAAAACACATTCATTCGTGAAATTATTAAATAAAYAGAATTCAGAAAGTTAAGAATATTTATAAATAAATTATTTATATGCTATTAAAAAGCATACTTTCCACTTCTATTGCAGTTTTCTATTTCATTACCTTACGAAATTCTCAATGTAATTTTGTTTGTTTTGGTTGGGCTGGATTCTCATAGCCAAACTTCAGYCCTAGTAATGAACCTTGGAGAATTCTGATACTGGCAATTCTATTTCCCATTTCCAATGACCTAAATATCAGTCCTAGTGATGAACCTTGGAGTAATCCTGTGTCGTTGATTATATAAACCATTTCCAGTGACAGAAATATCAGTCCTAGTGGTGAACCTGGGAGTAATCCCGTGTTGTTGATTGTTTCCCATTTCTATTGACCTAAATCGGTCCTACTGATGAACCTTAGAGAAATCCCATGTGGTTGATTTTATTTCCCATTTTCCAGTAAACTGAATGATATATTGATAGTCAAATCCCATTGATAGTTAAGCCTGATCAAACAACCCTGCTTGGTTATTGAACACCACAACAGCAGCAGCAGCAGCAGCGACAACAACAACAATAATAAAAGCAACACAAAGCATTGCTTCTGAGCAAGTTCGAAATTTAATGTTTGATTTTTCGTTTCAGTAAATAATGACAGAATATTAAAAGAAATTACAATTCAATTTTAAAAAAGCAGTTAAARAATAACTAAGAATGTTTTTCTTTGAGTTAAAATATATATATTGTACATTAACACTGGAAATAAAAAATTATTATGATTTTTTTATGAATGCATGGATATCACATGTATGTATGTTCATTTAATGATTCTAATTTTTTGACCTTTTACCTAATATATATCTTGTAAGCAATAGCAATAATAATACATGTATTACAACATTTTTGAAAATTAGACAAGTATAACGAAAGGCTTGGTTACCATGTTGGTTGCTTTTTTAAAAAAAGACAAAGGTAAATCTTTAATTAGCTTCAACATTAGCTATGAAATCCAAAAATACCTTAAAATGGTAGCTCATAATTATTCTYAATAATTCTTGATAGCAAGCTTAATACTACAAAWGGGATAGAATGGAAAGATGCAGCTAGATTTAGCCTCCACAGGGARGGACGATAAACCTCTTAAGCTCAAGGACATGTTTCCCATTTCAGACCAYTTGTCATTTCCTAGAGTTCCATCGCTTTATTTAACARTTGTACATGAGAAGACACATGAATATGTATATGACTTAAACAAAGAATCTTAAGGGAAAGGCATATGGTCTGAAATGGGAAAACATTATGCCCATACTAATGAGGTCTATTCAATTAAATRAATAGTTAGTAATAATTAGATTTAAGCTTGATGGACAATTTCCACATTTGGACAATTGCTCTTAATTTCTTGTAACATGTAAAGAAAATTTTCTCCCTTAGTTAGTGCACAATCATCATCAATTTTTAATCTCCAGAGAGCAGGGCAGTTCAGATAAACACTTTCCAGAGAGCTACATCCTGTTATGGCAATCTCTTCTAGCGAGATGCTAGTTAAATTCAAAGTCCTTAGATTCACACATTTTGTAATTTCTAATGACCTAAGTTCTAGCTCAATTGGCAGAAAACTCTTCAGTGAGCAATTTTGAACCTTAAGTCTGCCAATTTTGTTTTTTCCCATACTACGTATGTCGAAAGAGCAAATATTGTCAATGCTCAAAGTTTGCACTGTTGTACCCTCGGATAAGATCATGGTAGTTAATGATGAGGATTTGGTAAATCTGTAAGCACAATCGCTGATAAAAACCAGGTTCAGTTTAGGACAATCTAGGTACATCAAGCCAAGGTTAGGCATCCGACAGACATCAACTAAGTCACATTCTTTAGCGCTCAAGTAGACTGTCCTTCTTGCATCATTTTCCAAATCAATACAATCTCCACTGACTTCTAGTCTCTGCAAACTGTCACCCGATGCTCTGATGTTACTTACTGACCCTGTTATTGTCAGCACAGCCAAGGAAGGGCAAAGTTCTCGAGTCAGAGTTAAATTAGTTGTAAAACCTGCTTCAATGATAAGATGTTTCAGTTTAGGGTTCTTTTTCAGCAATGAGACAAGTGTGTCCATGTTAATGCTATTTTGCTGTCCAATATCTGTCACTTCAAGAGTAGACAGACTCCCAGTCTCTAAACTAAAAACATCTAGGTGTTCATCAAAAGACCTTAATGGTCCCAATAGAAGATTCTCTAAGTTGGGCACACAAATATGCAAASAATCAAGATGGAGGTCTGAGATGAACAGCTTTTTGAGGTTTGGAAGCAYCATGTTGACTGATCTGATGTTGGCAACGTCCCAGAGCTTCAGTTCTTGGAGTGAGCTTGATTCAATATCAATACCGGTTGAGTCAAACATGTCTTCAATCTGAAAAGAAAAATGACATKAAAGCATTAATATAAAATTCTAGAAAATTTTGAGTCAATCAAATTAGAACAAAAGAGTAATTCACTTGCATTATAATTATTTTAGATTATGTTATCCTATTTAGCATAAATTTAGCAGTAATTGGGTTGAAACTCTAGTGATGTTTCAGATGTTCAGCCCTTAAACGAAGTAAAAAAGTATAAAATATTGTTAAAAAACTCTACTGAATCCTGAGTTATGGTCGACATGCCCATGGACCTACTTTGCCATAGATAAAGTTGTCTTTTGATTATAACTTCAGTGTCATATTGGTCATAGGCTATCACATAATTTTATCCATGGACAAGTTGGCATGGGTGAGTTGGTCTGTGGGCAATTTGACCGGATACTGGTTGCGAACTTGAAACAACCTCTAGCTGATCAAAGGCAGATTCAATTTAAATTTAGCATGTTAGGTTCTRTTGAAGGATGAAAACTGGGAACTCAGATAAACCCTTTAATAAAAGGAGAGATATAACAAACTCTAGTCTAATGTGATCACCAGTCAAGAAATCAAACCTGAGACCCCAGAGATGAGAGGTGATTGCAATATTGCACCACCCTTGATTTCTCAAAGGAAGAGAGAAGAAAAAGAACTTGAAATACATTTAAAGTAATTAGGAATGATTTTACTGCATAGTGAGTTAATGTTCACAATCTTAATTTCAGTATTGTGGTGGCAGCCAAACTGAGTAACGTGGTAAAATCATGGGGATTCCCCATTCTCATCATAAAGAAATAGGTGAGACTTAAGATAAATAATGGCTGCTCATGTGTAGTTCCAAAAATTATCCATACTCCTACCCCTTCCCGCTCCCCCCCAAACACACACACACACGCCACTTTGGAATTTGGAAATTTCGAGGGGTATAGGGGAAGGGGGTCAGAGAAAGAACAAAATTACAGAGTTTGCATGGAAGAARAAAATTAGAATTTCCGGGGGTAGGGAGGATCTGAAAACTCTATGGTGGGAGGCAATGGCTAGACACATCTGGTGACCAACCATATCAGACCAATTAACATGTGRCCAGCAACAAGGACCTGCCTAAGAGGTGCTAGCTGGACAAGAATCAATTTTGGCTGGCCCTGTTGTCTGGCCATTAGTTTTAGGGAGCATTTATGGAATTGGGGGTGGCTTTGGAGATTTTATATTCTGGAATAATATTTTTTGGGTGCCCCCTCAAACATAACATATTTTTGAGTTACCTCTCCCTCCCCCAAAACTACAGACTTTCAATAGACACCAATTATTACCAGCGAAAATGGCTGCCGCCCTCCAAACCTCCATAAATAATAAATGCTCCCTAATAACGAAATTCTCTCACTGACATTGCTAAAAGGAGGGGAGTGAGTTGATTTGACGCACAGTACACAATAACTTCAAATTTTGACTTGATATTTTTTGGGACCCATTACCAACAGGAAGTAATGTTTACCACTTCAAACCATGTCTCATTCCCTTGAGTATATTTCTTTCCAGTAATGGTAAAGTGATATTAATATGAATCAAAGACTGAGGTCCACCCGAAAAAGTTGGGGTGGGGGGCTAAGATTGGAAAATATAAGAGACTAGTGTGGTAAAGGGAAAAAGTGGTCCCTGTGAATGATCTGGGACAAAGAATCTTATCCCTAAAGGAATGATATCAAATACTTAATCAAACCCTGAAACAACCACTGGGATTATTAAAGTTTTTAGTGTGTAAAAAGTTTTGTTTACAAGTCTAGGAATCAAAGCCTGAGACCCCAGATGTGAGAGGTGTGCACTACAGTACTCCTACATTATCCTTGATTTCCATGTAGTCTGAAATGGGAAACATTACACCCAAATTTAAGGGGTCCATTTTGCGAAACTTCAGATGTCATTGCTTCAATTTCTGGTTCTCAGCTAGGGGGTTTTCATAAAAAGACTTGCATCACCATATAAAGAATATCAGAATGTAGTGTTTGTAATAGCTAGTCCACTAATCTGTGAATAAAAGGATACAATAATAATTCTACCACAGTAGTACTTACAAAGGTTTCTAGTTTGAACTTCCTYAGTGACGTAAAACACTTCATAAAAGTTTTGATTTCTTTTCCATTCAGTAGCACATCCTCCAGGTTAATGACAGTRACTTTGTTTGCAAATTCTGATTTTGCCAAACTTGTCAAGAACTTTCCYGCCTCCACACGCCGATACGTCCGAATAAAAGCACTGTCCACACCAGGATTACAATAACCCCCCTCTAGTCGGAACTTGATTTTTATTTCAGTCAAATGTTTTAATTTTACCAATGCTRAAACCATAGATTCAAATGATAAATAACAGTCACAAAGTTCTAGCTTGCGTAGATTAGGAAAGTGGTCAGCAAACTTGAGAARAATTTCCTCAGGAATTCGAGTAAAGTGCCTTTCATGAGGCCTGAACCACACACCTCTTGCTGAAAATTCCTCCAAAAGAGAGCTGGTTGACAAAGACGAGAGAAATTCACTTTCGCAGGGAAGATCAATTTTAATGGCCTTGAGATACTTTAACTCTCCAAGAACACTAAATATGGAGGCACTTTTTAAGCTTTCCTCTCTGATACACTTAGTTTTAATACGTAGGATGAATTGACCGAAACGACGAAGTATCTTGACAACTTTAAGAGCCATTTCTAGCTCGTATTGCTCGTTTTCTTGTCTCGAAAACAAAGCGTTTGAAAGACGTTTTGATCCAAAAGGGTTGGTCGAAACAGTCTGCCATAATAACGGTGTGTTGTAGATAATATCCCTCCATCTTCGACACACAGATGCTAGTCTCAATAAGTTATCGTCTATCGGGTGTAAGTAGCTGAATATCATGCTACAAATCTCATCAGGTAAACAGGAAAATCCCTCTATTAGCGGATTTCTTCCAACGACCGCCATTTTGAAAACATTAARATTAAACCTAAAGGGGTGGGGGTGAGTTAGTTTGATTTTCAGCTGTCACGAGATAAACTTTTTAAAAAAACCTTCTGAATTTAACCAACATAAATTCCTAGTAACTACTTAGATAAATTATTCATATCTCTAAAATTCCAAAGAAGTTTTTTCTGCTAATGATTTATCGACTATTTATTATTTGTCAATCAGCTGATTTGGATCCCTTGGGTACCCCAGAGGGGATATTTTGTACCCACAATGCTAGTGTCTATTCTATTGCCACATGATAAAATCACACTTATAAATAAGCTTTGACCTCCCACTTTTAATCACGTTTAAAGAATCGATCGCACCAGTAATATAAAAAATAGGCTCAGCATGAGTGAGAAATTAAGTCCTAACTCGAAAAATAATGAATCGCCCAAAAATTCCCCAGGAAAACATCATCAAAGCTCCAACACTTTGGATGAAGAGATTGCAAGTTCCACAGCCAGCTTTRGCTCCCTGCAAAAGAAGAAGTCGTTTTTTGGATCTCTAAGGCACACCAAGAAGAAACACAAGAGTATAGAGATACTAAAAGGACAGGAGTCGTTTGGTGAAGAGATCGACACATTGAGATGGCAGGTAAGTTAGTCTGTATTATAGAAGAGGGTCCGAAGTTGTTGATCCGTGAAGCTTTTTTGTAAACTAAAGACCAAAGACCATCTTCTACATCAACTAGTATTATATTTTAAGATTAGGCTAAACATCTGTTGACTATCTATCCAAGTCTCTTATTCAATATATTTTATATTTTTTTCACGTATTACTACTTTTTTCATTCATTATTTTGAACCTTGATTTAGTTTCGGACACACGTCGTAACCACGATTTCCGGTTTGACTTGAATATCTGTAATAGATATTGTACATCTCACGCCTTTTAACTACTCGTATTTATCTTATAAGCCTTCGAGAATAAGTATACTGTATGCAAAAATGATAAGGGTTTTAAATTCTTCATTTATAATTAGTTTTCTCATGCAAATAATATGCACCAACATGCACCTATGCAATATTCAACAACATTACAAGTATGGTTGTCATTTTAAATTTATTAACTTATTATTGACATAACATATTAAGATATCTTGCAATACATGCAATATAGAAAATCTCATCATATGGTGTTACTATACCAAGTATACTACAGCCATCACTGACTCAATTTTAAATGATATAATCAGTTCCTGTATGTACACGTATGCAATATGAATAATTATCTGCAAATTCTTGTTCCATTTAATGAATAATCTAGTAATCCTTTTAGAACCATTGGATTAAAGGACCTTTATTTTACACTCAGAACTTGATGCCTATGAAATCATACTTCCTGTTCAACCACTTCCTGTGATGTTTAAATAGTAGATCAGTAATCCTAGAGCTAGTGTGATATATGATACATTAGCTTATTGGTAGTCATGCACATAGACATGTTACATTTGCAATCGTAACACTAAGTCGTTGGACTCAAYGCTGTTAAACACAGTGGATTTTAAATATGCCTTCAGGAGCAAAATTCTATTATATATATGATGAGGTAAAAGATTATGTGTCATACACTATAAATATGGAAGGCTTTAAGTTCTTACGTAAGTTAGCTTTTGAGATTGTTACTGGCTTTACATGCATTTGTTTTACAACAGGACCAAAAGGAGGGGGATGCAGAAAGGATCAACCTGCTCAACTCAGTCAAGGTAAATAAATTTATTGATATCTATAGCTGGCTTATACACTTTAGTTTGTTTTGTAAAATTATATTTATCTATCAGTATTATCAATAGCTATTTATCAGTTTAGGTAAAATGAGTGCTATAAAATTGTCATTTAGGGTCATATAAATAATTCATATATTTTATGCCAAAAATATTTTATAATTTTTTTTGTGAACATGGTTTTACAGCTTAGAGCCTGAGAAGTCATGCCTTTACTTGCTGGATTGATTCATGTTAATGCAASTGATATCTTTTATTCATGGTTGACCTAATAAGTAATAGGTGAAACATTTGACCTGTAATCATGAAGATTGGCTCATCCTGATACCAAGAGATAAATCAACAAATTTATATTAATACTAGACATTAATTATGCAATATATATATAATACTGCTAGCTAGACCATGGCTAATGTATTGTTATTTCCTTGTTTTCCATTCTTGTCAAAGGAGGGTCGGATGAGTATTGCAGAAGCCATGAAACAAGCAGAGGAACTTGGAGTTAGCAGCAGTTCAAGTTACAATGATGTAGTTGGAGAAGAGACAATTTTCAACTTTGGAGTTTACAAGTACACAAAGAACAGAGCTTCATGTTCACGGAGAATTTTACAGGTCTGTGAAATGTTTTGTCTGTTCTGTAACGTGGTGTAGCTTGCCAGAAACATGAATAATTTTGTTGGCACAAGATTGTAAGGTAACACTAAAGTTAGTGTAATGTAATTGAAGATCCRATGCTCCAAAATATTTAATATAAATCAGCTAGTTTTTTCTATATTTGTATTAATAAAGAATCTTGAATGTGGGTTTAACTATTTTTAAAATACTTTTTTATTGACAAAAATATATTGCTTACAGATCTTCTGTTTTGTATTTGTTCTAGTTTGACTTTCAAGAAAAGGTCTTGTGTACCATCCAGAAAGGAAGCAGAGGGAAAAAATTTGAGTTCTCACAAATTAGAGGCTTTGATAGTGAAGTAAGTGTATCCAATTAAAATTGCATAAAATCTAACAGGATTCATGCAAGTTCTACTTGCACTACTATGATTTAAAATCAAAATTCAAGGGCACTTGACCTCTAAACAAGAGGTAGTACAAAAGTTATTGATTTATTTTGTTTTAAATTGCACAAAATAATGTCCTTGTGTTAATAGTTTAATAGGGAGAAAATTAGCCATTATGTTTACTATCATGCTGAAAAATCGTAAAAGAGGTCACAGTTGGCAAGTGATGTGCAAACAGTTTAGAAGTGAGAGCAAAGCTCTTGTTTTTAGCTTGTTTACCTGTATGGCTTGGTTAATTTGTTCATGTATTGCAAGTTTTCAATAGGCAACTATATACATGGATGCAGTTTTTGGCCTTCTATGAAGGATGGCAAGATAATTTAATGATATTCATTCAGCTGTTTGCATACCTACTTAGGATCAAGAATTTAGAGACATTAGCAATGCATGGATGACTCTTCATGTATTGTAGTGTTCATATACGTACTGTATACTAAATAATGTTGTCATAATAAAACTTTCATATGAATTATTATTAGCTGATGTTTTAACTGGGTTGTAATGATTTTTCCCCCCAGGATGGTGTTAGGTTTTATATATATTTTGAAGATTATCATGATTATGAGCTGGATGCAGACACTACTGAGGAAAAGAACAAGGTAACAATTAAAGACACAAGCGCACCTTGCCCTCTGTCTACACTCCCTCTTTCCTCTTGTAAAACTAGGGCTAAAAATGACTGCCAAACAACAGACAATGCCTGGCCAAAACTCTCTTAGGCCAGTCCTTACGACCAGTCATATTAACTTGTAACATGTTTATCAGTCGAATTTGGCCAGTCATCATATCCGGTCATTGGACAGCCAGTGTCTTACTGTGCAGTCTCTTACTGTGCCTTTATTAGCTGCTTCTTGCGAACATTTCCCTTCATTGACTTCCTTCCTCATGCGTATATCCACAGATCTGTACATTATTGGAATCCATAACACATCAAAACAAGGGAGATGAAGCAGACGGTGAGTATGAACTTGTATTATTTAACAAATAAAGAGTTATCTCTGCATTACTGTATATGCAGCCACAGTTCTCTCCTGTGCTTTGAGGGTTTCTCTTGGTTCTCTGTTTTTCCTCTCCCCTTTAGGAATTGAACATTATAAAATCCCCTTTGCTGCAGCACAGGTTGTTCTAGGTTATTGCCCTCATTCTTATTGTTTCACTTTATGTATAAGTTCTGTTATATGAAAAATTATTTAGCTTATTGCCTAGTTTTTTTTTWATTGAGCTTATGGTATTTTCTTAACTATGCAAAGAAATTTGAACATGTAAGGCTCATCTTTTTGGTCATTTTAATTTACTTATCAACAAGGCTTATTTGTTTATTAATCATTTTTAGGTGTATTTGAGGCTCCTGTTTTTGTTGATAAGCTAGTCATCAAGGAAGGACAAGTTGAGAAGAAGGGACACAGTGCAGCATTTATGATGTGGCCCAGGTTGAAAGAGCTTCTTTTTTCCTTTTTTTTGTTTTCTTCTTTTCTTGCCTTTCAGAATGTTCCTTTCCATGTTCTTTCTTTTCCTCTCCTCTTCTCCCTTTTCCTTTCTTTTTCATCTTTTTCTTCTCCTTTTCTCTCCTTTCCTTTTTTGCATCCTCTTACATATCCTCTTCTCTCCCTTTCTTTCCTTTTCACTCCTTTTTCTCCCTTGTCTTTTATTTTATTTTATTTTATTTACTTCCTTTTCTCTTCCATCCCTTGATTTCCCTATTCTCTTTTCATCTATTTCTTCATTAAGTTTTAATCTATTTTTCCTATTTCTTGTGTGATATTATAGACGATGGCTGCGTGTACAGTCAGGGGAGCTATCGTACTTCAAGATAGGTGAAGAAAATCAGGTAACCTTGTCTCTTTGCGATTTCGAAACTAGTATAGAGCTATAATAGAAAACTAGCTAATAACCTGTAGTTTGAGCTGCATCAGTGTTTAAAGCATAAATGATAGTAAAATGTAAGTAAGTTTATCATCTAATAAAAAGTTATGTGTACTTAAGAAAGTTAAGTAAGTTATATAATGCCTTTAAATAAGTGGGGTAGACATGTAATAGTAACAAAAGTAATAGACTATTGGCCTTGGATGTTAGTTTGGTGTTGGAATATATACTATATATAACTGTAATAAATAAATGAGGATTTTTTTCATATCATAATGAAACATATACTGTAATGAGAAACCTATTTCTTATGCATTTCAATTGAGAATGAATTTAGTAAGTGTGTCAAGTAAAGTTCTGTCTTGTTGGAAAAAAAAGGCCTTGTTTAACAGTAAAACAAAACAAAACAAACAAAAAAAACAAAACAAAACAAAACACAGAAAAAGACAAACCTAATATTTCTGATTTATTTTCAAGCCTGCYTTGAACATCATCAAACTTGGTCCAGGGCAAGCTGATGTTAAGAAGGTTGAGCACAATGGTTTCATCGTCACCACAAGCAAGAAAGAGTATAGGTTAGTTTCCATGGTATCCATAATGTACAGAAACAATGCACCGAAGAACAAATAGATGGTGACATAAGTAACGCCACTAGAAACTAGAACTATAGTCCTATTACAGACACATTAATTCTTTTAGAATCAATTTAAAATAAATATAGGGTAATATGGTTATTTATAAATGTGTGAAATGTTTAGTGTCAAATGTTTTTTGTGTGGCCATTATTAGAGCTAATTACAGTATAATAACTCTAAAAAATCCAGGGTATGAAGTAAAGTGACTGTAATGGTGCTTTGTTCTGGTATTGTTATTGGTTGAACATATCTTTTGTATGCTATGCACAATATCAACAGACAATCATTCATGTTTTTTAATTTAACAGTATATTTTTGCTATAGTTTCCGTGTGGTAGCTAAAGATACTCATGCTGAGACGAGAGAAAGAGACGAATGGATTACGGTGAGTCAATGTTAAGAGCACCTCTTGATTATGGTTTTTGTTTGACAGCTAATAAAAAAGAGAGAAAGAATGAGTGAATAAATAGGGAGAGAGATAGAAAGAAAGAATAAATAAAGGAAGGAAGGAAGTAAAGAAGGAAGGACAGACCATTCATAAAAAAAAGAAAAAGAGAGGAAAAAGAGAGGAAATGAAGAAATAGAAAGGTAGAAAAAAGGGAGGAAGGAGGGAGGGAGGGTGAGAAGGAAGGAAGAAAGGAAGGATGGAAAGGAAGAAAGAAAGGAAGGAGGGAGGGAAGGAAGGAAGGAGGGAAGGAAGGAAGGAAGGAGGGAAGGAAGGAAGGAACGATAGAAGGAGGGAAGGAGGACGGGCCATCACATGACGGTATACTGTCTTTTACATTGAAGGCAATCGAAGAAGGGTCTCAGGTTTCAGCTCGTAGATCACGTAATTCATCAATGCTTCAAGACCAAGGTACGTCTATTGTCCATACTTCAAAACTAGTTTAAAAAACATCGCTAAAGATTGCCTTATTTTCGTAAATATCGTAAATGTGCAGACTACCTCAAAAATTGATGTGAAATTTCCAATTTTTTGAGCGAATTTTTGTGGCAAGCAAGGACTTTGGAAACGAGCCTCTTTCCAAAAAATGTATTTTCCATCGTGTTGTCTTGAGATGTGAAAAATGGTCTATTTGTGACGTTTTTTCTATCTTGCTTATATCGCGCGCGCATGGCTTTAGATGTTGGTGCTCGCGCGCGCCTTGTGTGTCGTCACAGCTGAGTCCTTTTGAGCACGTGCGCGCTTAGTGCCACGCGCTACGAATTTCACTTTGCAGTTGCAGAAGCGCGCGCAAGCCCAATCAGTCGATCTGATTGTTTGTTTTCAAATGATGCGCGCATGCGCGGAAGTTCTTTAAGTTCATTAATTTTTTCCGCGAAAAAAATGTTATGTCTAAAAATTCCCAAACTCACCAAACTGCGCAATGCTTAAGTATATAAGAACAAAAGTAAAAAGATTATATACTCGATGAAGAAGCCTAGAGAACTAACCCAGCCTGAACGAATTGAATCATGYGAGGAAGATGAGTTGAAAAGGTGTTGCCAATTGATTGAGCATAGCTTGTATAATGCTCTGGTTTGTCTTGCAGTTTTTGCAAGTTCAGTACAAGAACAAGAGCAATACATCAAAGATATGGTCAAAACGCTGCAAAGAGTAAGTTGCCCTTGGACCTCACCTTTCAATTTTAAGAAGATTCTATAAGTGTTGCTTAAGGTGACGTTTTTCAGGTATTTTCTGGTCCTAGATGCTTGAAGCATGAAAGCATCTAAAAAGAGAAGAGCCACACGCATCTAGTATATAAACTACGGTTTTTTTAATTCCACATGGCTAACTAGCTGTAATTTGTAATGTGGTTAACAATCATGGTTTCAAGGTCTCATACACTATTAGTCTTTTTTGGAAGATTATAAACAAGCCAAAGAAAGAAAGAAAAAAAAGAACGAAAAGAAATGAAGGAAAGGAAGARAAGAGAAGAGGAAAGGCTAAACATGAGAAGAAAAAAGTAGAGAAAAATAAGAGACGAAAAAAGAAAGGAGACAATACAAGAAAAAAAGAGGAGAAACTAAGATCATTCTTTCCTCTTCCTTGTGCCGCGCATAAGATGCGTTTCAGTGTTGCTCGCTAACTTATTTTCTTTTTTATAGGAGCTAGAGCAGCTAACGTCCGTCTTGACAGTAGTGAATGCACCAATACAGGCCACAGTACAGGTAAAGGCGCGGACATACAGTACAGACCCGAATATCAACCCGCCAATATCAACCTGTATTGGCTGCTCAGGGGATCCCCTCGATTGGAGAATCGCGATACAAAACTTGTTGCGATTTTGAGTCGCCAATAAGGATTTATATTGACGGCGTCGCTTTGCGACAAACCCCGTATTAGCGGTTCAAAATCGGCTCAAAATCGCAATAACTATTTTAAAAATATGTTAAGGTATTGTTAAAATATGATGCCGAAGTAGGATCGTTTTCTTCTTAATCAACATTGCGTGCGACAAGTTGTGTCGTATGACATCGATTGCCTGATACATTACGCGTGATGTTGCACCGTGGGTCTGTAGCTTATTTGTATTTGTAGCCACAGATCTCATTGGAACAAATATACATGCATTGATCTATTCTCTAAAGTTGTGTTGATTCGAACATCTAGCCGCGTAACATTGTCGCTGTTATTATTGTCTTAATTATAAAGAGTGGCGAACCTTCTTCTACGTGTAACAGAGAACATTTGATAACATTAACGATAGATCTCTTGCGAATAAAAAGTTTTGGAGTCAGAACTACGAATACAAAAAAGGAAGGAATATCTCAAAGATTTATTCTCTGGATATATTATAGTTTTCAACTCCTTAATCCACGCGRTGAAAACGCGTGTTCTATTATAGTGTATACCATAAAAACTCTTATCCATCCCATCCATCGAATTTGAAAAATTAAATTGTTTCTTTGGGTTATGTCATAATGTTGACGACATTGTTTACTTTTCTGTAAATAGCGAAAAACATATTGAAGTAAATTGACTCACATACGAACACCCCAAAAGAAAGAGTTCATTATTTCAATAGTATCAGAGCCGTACCTTAACTAATTTTTATGTATTATTTTATTTTAGGTAAAAAAAGTCAAAGAAATAGTTTCAAACATGGAAACGCAAGCCAAAACTGGTCTACTCTCCTGGACAATGTAAGTGAACTGCTGAATTGCTCCACTAAATCCCGGTGGGAATAATATCCCTTAGTATCATGTAAATTAGTCTTACATTCTAGTCATATACATCAACGTGTTCATTAGCGAGACTGGACTCGAATCGCGCGTCTTGGCTTAGTAAACATTTCTCTTTGTGTCTAATGTGCGAGATCGGAATTCTACGAGAAGTTTACTACCCTTTTCCTTAGATATGTTTTAAGATGTACCTTTATGCTATAAGGTAAGTCTTTAGAGTTTACTTACTTCGTGATCCGAGGTTTTTGGTAGCGTACAAAGTTCTTCGGCGGCGTACATTCGTATTCTTATTCTAATAATTCTGCATTACAACAGACTGTCGCGCATGTTCTGTTGAGGAATGCAGCTGTGCGTTGATATAATGGAGGCATTTAGCACGCGAATTTATAGAATGCTCGCGTGTATAAGATTAAGATTAATGAAGGACTGTTCAATATTTCTTTTTTTTTTCAAACTCACAAAATAGTAAGTAATTGTGAGATTTTTAAGACTTAGTTTAACTAAGTCGATTTGTCAGTTACTGTGGCCTGACTTTGACCAGTCCAGAGTCTTTTCAGGTTATCGATAAAATCTGAAGGTTGTAATAAGACCTTTTWCCAAAACTTTTTGACTTTCAAAAAATTCTTTGGCAACAAACACAATTGCCAAATAAGATAAACTTTCTCGGTCGTATAAACATTCCCGTGTATGGCAGAGGTTAAGAAAAAATTATACTCAAGGGAATAACGTGCGGTTTGAATTTGGAAAAACTCTTTCATCGTAAACAAAAATAGAAAAAGAATATATACTCTGATCATTTGCGCGTAAATTATATAGTCCTAGATTTCAGAGGAGAGCTGCACTTATTCTGTATATTTTGTCAGGCCTTTCTGGATAAAATGCACGTTGACTTCATCTATTTGTCTATAATACTTGTTCTAATGATGTCGTTACCGGGCTGAATTTCCTCTTGTAGGCGACAGTTGAAAAACCGATCAGACTCGACTCAAGATCTCGACAGCCCAAGTCGAACCCCCCCTGGAAGTCTACCTCGTCAATTATCGACTAAAAGTAGGACGGGTCAACCCAGTCAGTCAATCACTCCTATAGACGAAGGATACGAGTCAATCGCTAAACCACCTGCGAGACCTCCAAAATCACAGTCTGAGGGTAGCCAKTCCTCATATCATGCACCCCCCTCTAAAACACCCCCCAAGGTATCCGAAAGAACCAGTAGCTTACCTAAATGCCCTCTGGGTGATCAAGCGGGCTCCAATTCGACATCACAGCGAGATTACCACGCCGCGACCGCTGCCCAGGTTGCGCCTTATCAGACCGTCGACATAGTACCTACGTCCGAGTCCCAGACCCCTAGAATATCCGATTCAAGCCCAGGCTCTCCACCGTTATATCAACAACCTAAATCAAACCGAGGCGTAGACCAAGATCCGCGTTTAGACTGCTATGATAACGTGAATATTAAAAATACCCCTGCAAATAGCGAATCGACGTTAGCTGGCGAAAGAAGCACTTCGGATGCCGTTGACCAGGATTCAACGCTCGAAGTGGATGCAGCGAAGTGGCTTCATAGTGAGATAGATGCAGGAGGGATGGGATGCCAGAATATAGACAAGGCAGTACTAGAGAGGAAAGAGTTGTATAAGGAAATCGAAGAGAGTGGAGTAGTGCTGCTGAAGKTGCAGACAACTACTGGGGATGGAGACGAAGGTAAGCCAAAGGGATTTCTACCTAAAACATGGTTTACGAGTATGGACAGTAAAAAAGGTTGAAAATAAGCTTCGAGTTGCCATTCTCAATTACACGATAATAAAACCATAATTGCTGTTATTTTGTAAAATCAATGCATTCGATCTCATTTCTAACTATTTCAATTCAGAAGAAAAAACAGCCATCACCGCACCTCCACCATCACCCCCTGGGGGAGTTCCACCACCACCTCCTCCCCCACCTGGTAGCGGGGGAGCTCCACCACCACCTCCCCCCATGGGAGGTGGCAGTTTGGTTCTAGACGCTACACTGCCGTCCAGGAAGGTAGCAAAACCCAAGAAGAAGCTGAGGCCATTCTTCTGGAACAAAGTACCTTTGCAAATGGTAAGAGCAAGGTGCGCTCGCGTGGGTCGAATCTGGGTGGATTGATTGGGTGTGAGTGCTTTTAAAATGCGGGAGACAACATTGGCCATTCTTGTGTGGGATACGCCTCTCCCTACACGCACAAACCCAAAATCCTAGATACACCCGTGTGTGCGTAAGTCGTTTATGTAGCAATGAGTCTGTATTGTTTTCAAGACTACTATAAAACAATCGATTGCTACGTTTCACAACTTATCTACATCTACAAGCTAGTTTTACAGGCTTCGATGAACTTGTTTTACAGGTTACTCAGTCCCTTTGGCTCGGTGCGCAGGACCGAACTAATAACCTCAATCTTGAAGCACTAGAGGAGATGTTTCACTTGGAAGAAAAGGAAAAATCATTACCCTCAGGTAAGAAAGTCTCTTAACCACAAACATGAACACTATGGACTAGTTTGAGCGTGATGGGCATTGTTTTCTAGAACCAAACTGATGGGAGAATACCAATCAATGGGCGCACACAACAAACCCCTGAAAAATAAATATACTGTATGTCATAAAATAGTTGTCTTCATAATAAGTGGTATAAATGTTGCTGTCTGATTGGTTGGTGCCCGTGCTTTATGAGAGTACACAGCACGTGTGCGTGCTTTCGCCATTYGTATCCAAACTATTAACGGCTATTCTAATTTGTAACTTGGGGAATGGCATAACACTCCACTACGCTCGTGCTTCGTCTATCGAATCTCTCCTGATCTGCCAATCCCGACGTAACTGCACACACCATGCACACGCGTTTTCCTTTTATTCAATTTAGCATGAAATTGTTTCCTATCGTTATATAATGCTATTAAACGCTAATTAACTGCACTTCAAAAATACTCTCTCTACCAAGAGTAAAGTTGTCAACCACATATTGCTATACTTGCCTATTCTTTTGTTGTCTTATCTCATTAGTGTCTTCCAAGGCTTCAACAAAGATGTTGTTAGACCCTAAAAAGGCCCATAACTTAGGTGAGTGATCACGTGTCATGCCTCTTATTCTTTAGGGGGAGATGTTAACATTTCCGGATACACTGAAATTTTGAATTCCAAAGCACCCTTCAAGGGTGGGATGATACTTGAGCAGAGTTCGTATGACTGTAATGAGACGGTGTCGTTACCGTGACGATGCCGCGGGCAAATGAGTATTCTGATTGGGAGATAAGCAAAATCGTGCGATGTAATTGGTTTAAATTTTGGCGTCAATTTCGTGACGTCACGGTGCTGTATGGCGTGAATTTTCATACAATGCGATATTCCCGTGGTTGTCATGGCGTTCTTTCCGGCCCCTGTCTTACTATAATCCCATGGTATTAAAAGCAGAAAGTGAAGCTATAATCCCACCTGCATTTGTCTATTTTCATTAGGTATATTCTTGAGTGGATTTAAGTTAACTGCCAAGCAAATAGACGAAAAATTAGGTGTGTTCAGAGAAGACGAAGGCGCTTTGCCAATTGATCACGTGACTTCCCTTAAGAGGTAATGTTCTTAGCAATTAGCACTTGATTCAGTCAAAAATATTGATAATTTTAATTAGTAATGAAGTAATTTCGATGTGTTTTGGGATAGACTGAATCCATGAAACAGTCCTATATAACTAGCACTATGGATATAATATTTCATACAACTACCTGAGAAATTCCTGTCGTCTTATTGGTGTAGAGCAGTGGCACTTAGCGAGAATTTTAATTTCACATCTAGGTTTTTTTTCAGTTGCTGAGCCAGCTTAGAAAATGGCGGAAATATTTCACAATTTTGAGCTTCGAGCAACAGACCCCTTGCACGTGACTTTAAAAGTAGTTCAATTTGGAGGAAAAAACAAAAGAATTTCAATATCATGAGAATTGGAAACCTATTGTTATGTCCTCCAAATTGAGATGCATTCCGACATGCTGCAAGGGGTCAATACAAGAACAACTAGAAAACAGTAGACACAACACTTTATTTACTAATTAGTGCAACTTAGATTTAGTATTGTTTCACAGATTTAGTGTTTGATATCAGTACGACGGACAGTACGACCTACATCGATAGAACTAGGAMAGACCTTTGGTAACTTACTGAGTTATGCTCTGAACCTCTCATTGTACAGGTTTCTTCCGACTCCTGACGAACAGGAGATGTACAAAAATATCAAAAAAGAGGATGTTCCTAACCTTCTGCAGGAAGATCAATTCATGATCAAGGTGAGGAACCGAAATTTATTATGATTTAGTGCCAGGCAGAAATAAGCAAATAATAAACTTCTCTAACTTTGGGGCAATTCCCCATTTTCGACCATATGTTCTCCACCTAAATCCCTTTTTTTTTGACTTGTGGCTATATATTTATGTGTCTTCTCATGGGCATCCATTAAACAAAGAAATGATATTCTAGGGATTGACACATGGTTTGATATGGGAAAACATTACACCCAATAAACATTGCCTCCCAACGCTGTATAATGGATCTATTTTCATTTGATTGAGTCTTTTACTTTTCGTCTTTTTCAATGAAGCTTTGCGAGATACCAGACCTGGACAAGAGGCTAGATCTTCTGCTGGTCATTATGGAGTTCCCGAGTCAGTATGAAGAACTCGCTCCAGTAAGTATAGTAAATGCTTCACGAAAAAAACGACTCATCCTTATGAGCATTGCGCACGATGTTATTGATCATTTGCGCTTGAATGACATACGGCAAAGGCATTTTTAACGCATCGTGACAACTCAGTCTTAAGGCAAGTTGCAAAAGAAATTGCACAGAAAACAGGTCCTTTACAGAAAGGTAAAACACGATGCTAATAGTCATTGTAAGATCATCTCATTCTTTTGCACGAATTGCAAACAATGTTTTCGTTTTACAAGCATCGTATTTGAGAGAGGGACACTTTGCATCATTTTTACATTGCCCATACGTTTCTTATATACCTTACTTCGTGTATGATAAAGTCTTGATTGACAAACCAGTTACGAAGTAATCAATACTAGATCAATCGTTGCGTTAATATGTTAACTATGTGTGTTTTTTTTCTAGGCTGTTACAAATGTTCTTGATGCGTGTCATCAGTTACACAGTAGTCAAAGGTTCCAGATCATTCTAGAGTATGTACTGGCCATAGGAAACTATATCAATGGTGGTACGAACCGTGGTGGTGCTTATGGCTTTAGACTTACGGCATTAACTAAGGTAAYCTACCGCAAAACTAAGCATCTAGTGGGTTATTGTATTATAACGTAAATGCGTAAGAACATGGCTAAGGCACGAATGACCATGGTCGTGTATAAGTGAATTGCATCGAGCCAAAAAAGGCATAAGATCAAAATATCAAATCATTATTGACACCCTGAAACAACCTTGAGGATGATAGTCTAAGTCAGGGCACGRCTGACTCACAGATTGAACCCTGAAAAAATTGCTTGCTGTACTCTGTGCAGTGATAGCGAATGCAGATATTAACAAAACCGTATCTAGTGTTCTGTCAATCCCGACGTGCTTTATAACAACACGCGCTAGCACCTTTCCTATTTCTTCTTTAAGCGTTGTATTTGTCCAAGGTGCCTTAGCAATCGATACGATRATCTTTTTCATTTATTATTTTCTCATTAGATGGCTGATATCCGAGGTAAAGATAAAAAGGACACATTACTCAAGTACTTGATACTAGAACTTCAAAGAACGTGCCCCGATTCTCTGTTGTTCTTGGACGATCTGAAAACTATTGCAAAAGCTGCTGATGGTAAGGCCTCTTTATTATAACCAATTATTAAACATAACCTAGACATCAATATTTGACTTCTTCGACGATACGGTGGCCATCTTGGATCGCATGGCATTATGGGGCGTCCAGGGGGGGGGGGGGGGGGGAAAAAAGAGGGGCCAAGTGAAGAAGTCGAACCCAAGATTTGAGAGG